CAACCAAGGAATTTCTCCAACTTCCATATTCCAATAGTAATTTGAATTGTCTGATTTGGGAACAATTAAGGAGAGAAACAAAATCCTTATTAACGGATTGGATTAAGAGTTCCTGACTTCCTTCTAGAGGTACTTAGAAGGCTGAGCATCAATTGTAGCAATAGAAAGGACCCAGCAGTAAGACAGATGCCATGAGGATCACAGGAAGCAACAATTCTTAGAGTAGCACTTCGTGCTTTATGACAAACACACACATACACTCACACAAAGACACACACACGTACACACAAAAAGACAGTCACAAACATATACTCATACACACACACACACACAAAGACACTCATATACATACACTCACATACACACATTCACACATATACTCACACACTATACTCACACATGCACACATATACACACAAAGACACATTCACACACATACACTAACATACACACAAAAAGACGGTCACACACATATACTCACACACACACCCTCATATACACATACACACAGATGCTCATATACATACACTCATATCCACACAGTCACACACACACTCAGAAATACTCATTCACACACACCTACACTCTCATACACACACACACACACACAAAAGAAAGGGGGATTAAATTGAAAAATTAGTTACAGCTTCTCCATAGGGCTGGCTTGCCCTCCTGCTAATAAGTGAGTGTTTTATAAGTAGCAGCATGAGATGACTCGGTGCTCTAGAGGTGCTTGTCCATAACTTTTGTGGCATGCACTCCCTAGGGCAGGTAATACTGGCCCATTCCTGGCTGCCTAAAGGAAATCTGATTCCACAGAGCCATGGTCTTGAGCAACTTTACCAGGTATTACAATTCCACAATTGTCTGCTGTATTCTTTCACATGAGTAATGAACAGGTCCATTATGTAAGTATATAAAATAATTAAATAGGTACCACAAGTGCTACAGTAACTTTGGTGGCAATTGACCTTGAAGATTCATTCATGCAGTCTTTCTGCATAGGTTGTGACCTGCATAAAATGTATCAGAAACATGAATGAACACATTGTGCCTTTCCACAATGTCAGAATCTATGGAATAACAAATTCACAAACTGTAACCGTTTCATTGCCCACAATTTGTGAAGTAATCCCAGTCTTCCTTGATAGCTGTCAGCAAGCACAAGTTCCCTTTTTTTAAGAATAATGAAATAAAATACAATTATGATAAAACAAAAACTATCACATTGAAGTTGGACAAGACAAACAGAAGAGGAAGAGCCCAAAAAGGCTCAAGATTCAGAGGCCCACTCCTTGACACACTCAGGCATCTCATAAAAACACTAAACTGGAAGCCATAATGTAAACACAGAGGACCTCGCTCAGGTCCTGAAACACAGATTCTTTTATTTTAGTCTCAGGTTACACTTGTAGTCTTGGGGACTCGTGTGTGTGTGTGTGTGTGTGTGTGTGTGTGTGTGTGTGTGTGTGTGTGTGTGTGTGTGTGTGTATGTGTATGTGTGTGTAACTATGGTCAACAGTGTTAGACGGCAGCCCCTTCATGAGATCAATGTGGGTATCCTGCACCCTTCTTTTTCCTAGTGTGGCCCATAAATTATCAAGTCTGCTCTTTCCAGTATGGTTTTTATTGTGCCCATGTGTTTATGTAGTTCCAAGCTACTTAGATAACATCATGGGGTAGTTAGTATCTTTACTATAGGATTAAGTTATCTATTAGTTTGTGCATCGTGGATACCACTAGGCTGGTGATAGTGTCTACATGTGTAGCAAGGTGCAAAGTCATTCTGCCCCTGCATTTGCACTCAAAAATGGAGCCAAATGTTCCTTGTAAAATGGAAAAAGCATAGCCTGAAAGCTAATGTTTTGCGCAATTCAGAGCAGCTTAGAGCAGAGCACAGCCTGATCTCAACAAGCCAGCCTTGAGAGGCACTGTTCCAGAGGAAGTCACCTGATACCTGAAAGTCAGAGAAGGGGTGGGAATGCTCAGAAAGCTTGGCACCTTACACATGCTACTTGCAACCTTGCTCTGTATCACCTGGCTTTTAAACTTGTAGCAGAAGTATTCACACTCTTTCAATGTTCTCCTACCCCAGTCCACTCCTACTTTTATTCAATATATGGTTGTTCTGATAGCACTATGACCCTTTGTCCAAGTGTAAATATGACAGAAATATACAATGTACTATAGTACATATATAGACACATTTAGCTAGTCATGCAACTCTCTTGTACAACTACATTTTTACTCTAAACAGGAAATCTGAAAGCTACCTTTAGCTGTCAGTAGTAAAAGAAGAAGTTCTCCCTGAGTATTTGCTTAAATGTAAGCATCTTTTAATCTTATAAAAAACTGCATATGCCCTGTTGTCTTCTAAGATGTGGATTCTCTCTAGGTGAGGGGCCTACCACTGGTGTCTACCATGATTCTTATCATCAACAAGCATTGAAAACTCCATTTGGATCCTTGTCACTAACAACCTTAAAAACTTGGAACAGTAACTGGGGAGAAAACAAAGATAAAGAACAGTGTTCTAGGCAGAAAAAGCAAAACTGGGCATTAAAATTTTCCCAATAACTGAGTGTAATGTCAAGGATTAAGCATGGGAAGAGAGGGGAATCACCCATACAGGCTGGAGAGAAATGGATCAACAGTTGAAAACATTGACTACTCTTCCAAAAGACCAACTCTCTATTCCCAGCATCCATATGGCAGCTCACAATCTCCTGTAACTCCACATCTAAGAAATCCAATGCCTTCTTCTGGCTTCTCCAAGCACCAAGCACATGATAAACAGACATGCATGTAGGCAAAACATCTATACATATAAGAATATTTTTAAAAAACTAAAAGATTACAATAGTTATTAACTAATAATAGGATTCCCTCCATATCTGTCCAAGGGAACAAGCTGCCTTGTATAAATAGGTAGGAGAACATCAATCTAGGAGAGAGATTAAGGTGCTTCAAAGCATTTTACAGAGCATAGTGTAACAAGACTCTGGGTATTCTCAAGGAGGCTGAGACACGGGCAGTTTTTACAAACAAAAACAACAAGGATAGGTGCCAGGGATTTAGCTCGATGGTAGGACACTGGTGTTACCAGAAATTTTGGGATGCTACCCAGTGAGTACCATAGGTTACAGGGGAAACTGATGTATCCTTTCAGGGTTCTCAGTCTCCATGATAAAAGCATGTAAGAACAAACTTAAACAAAAACTCGAGGACAATTTTTAAAAAGAAAAACCCCAAGGCAAGAAACATTACACTTCTTCATACATAACATCTCAGGAGAAGAGAAAAGAAAAAAAAAACTATGTTGTTTGTAAACAGCCACATAATGGAAGTTGGGATAGTTTTAGAGGAAAACAATAAAGGGAAAAATTTTTAATTTTTTTTAAAAAGCACTGAGTGCCTGAAAAGCATGCCCTTGATTTTAGCCAGTAGCTGAAAGAAATGGGAAATTTGGAAATGTAAAGTTACCATTTTCTGAGAAAATCAGGTGGACCTCAGCATAGCCCGGACTGCAGCTCCATTAGTCAACTGCTCTTAGAATGCAGTTTACAGGAAGGAAAAATATAATGGGCTTCTATCCAGCTGTGATCAAGACTACTGTGGCATTTCCCTCCATGAAGCAATAACCCTAACATCATTGAGGAGATGGGCTAAAATTGGGGAAGAGATAAACCTATTCACACCGTGAGAATCCAGAGATCCAGTTCCGGAAGAGATCACTGTCTGCAGCTTTGATCACATCCTTAGGATCCTCTCCAGGCAAGGGTGCTCTTTTAGAAGGTGATAAGAAACCAGAGCTCCCTTCTGGTACTCTTGTGAAAACCAAGGACATTTCTGTTTGTGTGGTTCCCTGTTCTAAACTGCATGCCCAGTTCCTATCTCCCTTTCTTATTACAAGGCCAGGTTCCCAGCACCAGAAAAGACACATTTTCAATACTAATCCTTGGCTGTGTTAGCAATAATAGACCCCATATTTGCAGGATAGGGAGAACTCCTTGCAAAAGTGTTTCATGCATGAGGTTGTGGCAGCTTCTTTGCAAACTTGGGGTACACTCACTGCCTCACTGCCTTTCGTGATAGTTCCTCGCAAGCAACAACAGGTAAGAACCATTCCTTCATAAATGTACGGTTTTATGTTTGTAAACATTGACAAGGCCATTCCATTTTGATTATGACAGCATCCATGTTTCTTTTTACAGGACCAAAAGGGGGGTTGTTTTGTTTTGTTTAAGAAAAAAAAGTCATACAGAGGCTGTGCCTGCGGTGGGTGGTTTGGAATGGGAGAGAGTTATGACATCGTGGGAAAGATCGGAGGCAAAAGAAATATGTACCTTGCTGGATCAAGAATCTACACAGAAATGGATTACACGGATTACGGATTAAGTTAGTCTTCCATGTCAAGACCAAAGTTTCTACACCGCTTTTAGTAGGCGCCAGCATTTAACAACCATACGTTATGTCATTCCCTATTGTTTCCTGTGCATTACTCAAGGCTCCCTAGTGAAACAACACAATGAACAAACTGGAACTGAAGTGTTTTGACAAAGTTGCCTGAGGCTAAGGCTCTTACCCACGCCTCCATAGAACACAGATCCTGGTTCCTCTGCGCAGGCCCAGCCCTGGCCATCTACCTCGAGCATCGGGCTTTGTCCGCTGCAAAAAGTGTGGGCAAGCAATTTTAAAATTTCAACATTTGGCTCATCAAATCCCAAGCCCGCTCTTTGCAGCCTCGACGGCAGGAAGCTGTTAGACACCTCCTCGTCCACCAGGGGGCCGCCTCTGCCTGCTTTACCTGTTGGTTTGAAAAGCCCCAACATCCGGGACTTCGCCGCGAGAATTAAAGCACGCGGCGCGGTTGGACCTTCCGCGGCCGCCGTAG